GATCCGTAGATTAGCCGTACGGTAGCTTACGGTCTAGTTAAAGGTATTCTCAGGCAGGGTAATATCCGCAAGTATCCGCTAGAGATCCGTAAGGCCGAGACCGAGTAAAAAGAGGCCATAATTATAGTAAGGATTAACTAAGGGCAGCGGGAAATCAATTAATAGGTTATAGGCTAGCTTGCAGGCCAAGTTATTACAGAAATACTTCTTATACCGGTTCCAGATCGCTCATATATCCGTAATTAGCTACTGGCAAATGCCTATAAGAAAGAGTATCCGTAAACCATAGCCGGTTATTAATAAAATAGCCTTATCAAAGTACTAGAACCACTCCTAATTATTCTCTACTAAGCCGTAGGCAATACAGGTAGTATAGTATATAGGATAACGGATACCCTTAACCAAGTAGAGCTTATTAAAGGACTACAGACCGCATATAACCGTTAGTAAGAGCCATAAGTAGAACTGCTCGCCCGAAACTAGGCTATAGTAATAAATACGGCCAATACTATACCCTCGCTTGTAGTACTTCTATATCCGGGTCTTAGTAACCTATATAAAGTACTATAGGAACTCGTAATATAGGTACTAGCATCCGTCCTTATATATTATATTATACTTAAAGAAGGCTATTAAGGTCAAGCGGGTATTTGCGGCCCGGTCCGTAATCTGCTCGGGTAAGAGATCGGCCATAAAGCAGACCATATACTACCCAGAGAGGTGGATTGCAAGATATTAAACCGGAAGGAACTCCTGGTATATTGGACACTTAAACAGGCGCTAGAAAGCCTCTATAGGGCCTATATACCAAGCCTGGAGGTACTGGGTAATCTTATTATCCGTTCCCGAAATAGTAATAGTTATATAGTCCGTTCCCTTATAAATGTACTTATAAATATACTTAATTACTTATACGGATATATAAACCTCGATATTAATATACAAGCGGAACTTCTAAAAAAGATACAGGTTATACGGAATAACCTAGTAGTTATTACGGACGACTTCCTGATCTAAAAAGCCTGGTTTATAGACCATAAATATATGGCCGTCGTCCCGGTACTAGTACTCGGGATATCTATCCTTACGAATAATTATTATAGCCACAAATGCTTTGGGAAATCTCTTCTGGTATATAAGCAGGGCTATAGGCGTCTTACGGACCATATACGGGGCTTTCGGATTATTATTAAGGCTATATGGCCCGTAAGATATCTGGCTAGTAACTACGGCTATAAGTTCGCCCGTAGAATCCTATAACAGGTCTGGGAGCTCGGTACAAATAACCTTATTAACTAAATTAGGGATTAAGAAGACGGTATCTCTCTTAAGAAATAAGAGCAGGTATATATATAGAAGGCTATACTTCTAGTACTCGATTATATAGATATGGCCCGTATACTATCCGAAAAGGTGGTTCTTGAGGTCCGTAAAGAGCTCTCTTATCTTTAGGATAAAGACCTGGCAGAGGAGATCCGGACGGTTAATCGCTTACTACCCGTTTAAGAGATAATCTATAATCTCAGGCTAGTATAGGTTAGCTATAAAGGTAATAAAGAAGCTTGGCTTACCAAAGTACCATATAATAGCTATCGAGTCTTAAAAGAGCTACTATATAAAGCAATTACTGCCCGTAAAGCTTAATGAAAGGATAAAGTAACGGCTAATATTACTTATATAAATGTCCTTATAAATCAGAGCATCTGCAAGTCCCGTATAGATGTTCATACGAATATTCTACTGGTATAAGCGGAGCTAGTCGAGCGAGGTAGTCTCGCAGGTAATATATACATTAATAATATACTACTAAAAGAGGCGGCCAGTATAAAAGAGTAGGGAAAAGGCTGGACGGATATAGAGATAATACTAGTAAAAGACCTGCTACTCGAGCCATATCCGCTAACGGGTCCTATTACGGTCCTATAACTATAAACCGTAGTACTAGCCCGGGTTACTATACGGGAAGAGCAAGATATAGTAGAGCGGTATATATACTATATATATAACATTAACCATATATATTTATAGACGCTTGCGGCCTGCCTTACAAACCGTAAGTACCAGATTATAGCGGCTTATATCCGTATACTCGTCCGGAATAAGGGCTATAACCTCATTACTTATTGGGAGGTTCTTATAATAATAATTAGTACCTGACTCGAGAATTAAGCATATTTGCAGGTTAAGTAAGATCCGGAAATCGGTTTACTAGCTCATAAGACGCTTGCGGGCTATCTTATAGACCGTAATAAACGGATTATAATCCGTAAGCATATCCGTAAGCTATAAAAGAATTATACGATCTAAGTAAGGGAAGTTAGTAGCCTATATATTAGTTATAAAGAACGGATCATAAAAGAAAAGCTATATAAAGGAGGGTTCGGTATATAAAGCGGGCTATAGTAGGCCTTGGAAATAGAAGAGCTCGCCATAGATCTGAAAGTACTAGATCCTACGGGAGAAGTCAATTCGTATATCCTTCTTATATTTAACTAATATAAAGGCAAAAGTATAATTATATACCCGGATATTTGCCCGGAAGGTCCGGTAAAGCGGATTATTGCCCGTAAAGAGGTAAGAGAGGTATAGAGGAGGCTTATAGATTAAAGGAAGTATTATATCGCCCTTCTTATAATAGGCCTCAAAGCAATCGTCCGTATAACCAAAATAGAGAGCTCCGCAAGCTATATAATAACCCGTAAGCGGACCAGTTATATATACGGGAGCTAGCCGGAAGTATAAGAGGAAGCCAGGAGGCCGTATAATAGGTAAGTCTATAGGAGGGTCCTCCAAGATATTAACTAGGGCCGCAACGGACGGTTAACGGATCCGTCGCTGGCGCCATAGGGCTGGCTCGTCTGCAGAGATATTCGTAATAGACTATTATTATTACCGGGAGATAGGAAGGGTATTCGGATCGAGTTCTTATAAGGCAGGGTATTACTAGGTATAATTAGTAGTATTCCGGGCCTATTAATAGGTTAGTTAAATTAGAAAAGGGGGAAAATACAAACTCGATAGTAATTACAGGTCTTATATTACTTGCCTCGCTCTATAATAAAGTCAGAAGCAGGCCGGTTTTGCTTATAGGTAGTATAAAAGCGAGAAGGGTCTATAATATAAGTAAAAGGGAAAGTAGTAAATGTAAAAGTAATAAAGAGAAGAAGAAGAAAAAAGTAATATAAGGCTAGCTTTTTTTTTTTGGTATTTCTTACGTAACCTGTATTTTTTAGGGAGCCCCGAGAGCTAGCCAGTATCTTAAGAATTTCCCTCGCCCCCTCCCGAGCTTTAAAAAATCGTAATAAAAGCCCCTTGTATTCCAGAACTACTAAAATATAGAGAAAGGTACTTGAGCTTCTCCTCTCTTATCCTAAGCTAAGCCCTAAGGATTTGGACGTAATTACGTTCCGATATACGATTCCCTAGAAGAGAGAGATTCTGGTGTTCCTCACGTGACCCGCTTTTTCCAGGGAGTACTGGGAGCCAACCGCTTAGGGTAGTCCGAATATAGGACAATATAGAAGAGGATAGAGTAATTAGATTAGATAGATCTAATAAAGGAATTATCTACTATAGTATATTCTGCTATTATATATTCCGTAGGCTTATATCTAGTTCGAGGTATAGTAGTTTATAAGAAGGGTAGGTTTATAAGGAGGAGGGTAATTCGTAAGATAGATAGTTTATAATAAGTATTATATTCAAGGTAAAAATTTTGTCTATAATGAGAAATTTAGGAAGTGAAATTTAAGAAGTAAAATATCGAGATTTCGGAAGGACTCGATGGTTCTGAAGCTTAAGAGCCCCAGGGGTTTAAAAGAAGGTGGTTTTTGAAAAGGTTTTATAGGAATTAAATGGGAATGGAATGGGATAGTTAAATAGCTAACCGTTTTAGTACTTGGTAAGATTAAGTGCCCTTTCTGCCTATATAACCGAATTACAGGTAATAGGACTAATAGATATTTCCCCCTTTAATATAGTATAATCGGGCCTTAGTAAGATCAAGTATCTTTCCTGCCTATATAACCGAATTACAGGTAATAGAATTAATAGTTATCCCCTCTTTAACTAGAATAATGGCTTTGCCCCTAAGTAACCGAATCTTAGGCAAGTATAGCTTAATCCTTCCTAATCTGTAAGTACTAACTGATTAGTATCGGTTTACTAGTAACGCATGGCACCGTTACATAGTCGTGGAAGTGCTATTTGCGTAAGGTTAGTAAAGTTATTATTCAGAAGTAGGGATCGCAGTATCGTGGTATTAATATGCAATCCCTAAATCTGCTAAGCCTAAAGGGGTCTAGTCTACTGGTCGAGTCACTAATGGGACGCGAGGTCACATGACCATGTCCCGTATCCCATGTCCCATTGCCCATGTCCTATTGCCCATGTCCCATGTCCCGTGTCCCGTGACTACGCACGTGACTCCCAGAGGAATAGCTGTACCAACAAATATCTTTATTTATATATAATTTACTAAAATATAATCTTATTAATAAGGTTAGAAACTATTAATATAGAAATACGAAAGCTAATGGGAATATTAGTTGTATAAAAATTAAAGTCTAAAACTCGAGGATTTTAGTGGGACACGGGTGTGCATTGACCTTGGATCTCGCTTACGCATGGTTCCAGACCTCCACCCTCTAGATATACGAAGGCCGACGGCATTAAAAATCGACCATATTCGCTAGTGCAAGGAACACCAAAATACCTTAGTTTTGAAAATTGTGCGTTACAACGCCACCACATTCGTATGCTTTAGTTCAAGCTTGATAGGATAGAAAAGAGGCTCAAGTGTCCTTCATTTGTATTTTGGTGACTTTAAAATTATAGGGACGTTTTTCGTGAATTTTTGAATGGGGGGAATGATTTTCAAGGCTCTCGCTTAGCAATTTAGACGATTTTTAATGCCGTCGGCCTTCGTAGTCCAGAAATTGGGTTCGGTCTCAGTTGAGTGACGATCTCGACGACTATCGACCTTCCATGCTTGGATGCCCCTCAAGTCAAGGACCTCACTTCATCGACTCCAAGCGACCGTGGTCCAAAATGCCTCAAATCTCCGACATGGGTTCGTTAAACCGCCCTTGGATAAGCTTCGCTATACTCGTACTGTTCAACATTGCAAAAAAATGATAGTGAAAATGATGCCAAGACTTTGTAACGCCGAACATCGAACTCATTCAAGGCCGAACGTTGGTATAATTGGCCGGTCGTGGCCGATTCCGAAGATCCACCAAGCAGGCAGCATGTGCATCCCGGCGAGCCAGACAACCTACTCCTGGGGTTATGACCACCCATCACCAGTGGGGCAACCGTGGGGTAGGCTATAATAGGTGTATTTATTTATCCCAGGAGAGAGGTATAAAAATGCGCCCCGTGCCTCGCCAGAAGTCTATCCTCGTACTGTCACGCATATTTGTCTGGGCTGCCCCGACCCCTTGTCAACGATTATGGACATGAACGGAATACTCGCTATCTTCCGGCGCTTTTCCCAATTTGAGGGTCAAGCAACGTCCGACGCTCTACCGGCATATGAAACGACCGCCGCTACGAGGGTTAGGGAGTTTCACGCCTCCAAGCAGCCATTGTCGATGCTTTTGCCAGCATTTCCATGGAAGAACCCAAACACGGAAAAGACGCTGAGCTCAGACCCTGACTTTGGCGAGGAACTGGCCATGGCCAGGCTGAACCATATGTGCGAAGAGCTGTCTATAGTTTATCCCTTTGGTGCCGAGGTTACGCTTGTGGCTGATGGCCCCGTGTACAATGGTACGTGATATCCAACGTGACTACTATTACCTACCCTGTCACCCATGAATTTTAAGCTGACCCAAAGAGGCAATTCCAGATCTTCTGGCAATTCCAGATGCAGATTTCTACGATTATGGAATCAAGCTCCGTCGCATGGCAGCGAACGAGGGCTTCACGCACGTAAAGTTTACCCGCCTGCTTGATGTGCTTCGTCTAGGCAATGGCGACGCCCTATCCAAGACAGAATATACTTCCAAGGCAGAACTATGCCGGCGCGAGATGGAGGGTAGGTTTCTCGGCGCAAATTTCGACCTCGATAGCCAAGTTGCGGCTGAAAGGGATACCACTCTGACATACCAAAAGTATGTCAAGTCGGCTCGTGAAGACCTCAAGTGGGGTCAGGCGATAGACCCAGCCATAAAAGCTGACCCTGAACGTTACGAAGCCGAGGCTCAGAAGATCGCAGAGCGTATGACCAAGAGGCTCCTGGTAAGGACACACACAATCCACAAAAAACAAAAACAAAAAACACTACAAGCATGTCTGCGGTCCACTACTGATACCACCAAAATAGGCTTACGAAGGAGCGCTCGCATATCGCTTTCCTAACTATATACGGCTCTCTATACATAGGTCGACTGGTAAACCGAAAATATCTGTACCGCTGATCCCTCAGCCACAAGGGTTCCCTCTCACCCCTTGGCACTCCTGTGTTGTGGTGGCAGCCTCAGGGGAGTACAGAACCGGCAACGCAAAAGACTTTCGCAACCTGGATAAGTATGAGGTCATTAAGAAAGATGGCGTTCCCTACTTCCTACGTGAGAGGCACCCAGATTTTGACTGGCCAAGCCACGTCAAGCTTTACCACAAGTATGGGGGTCAGGCTGTGCTGGTAAATGAATCAAATGACAAGGAGAAGAAGCAGCTGGATGGAGATTTGAAACTTAAACTGGCCAATGTAGCACTTCGTCTAGGAGGAGTAGAGGTCCGTGGATTTGCTACTTGAGATTTGCATCGCATTACTAGTTTTTCGGCGAAAATGTCTCGTCCTCTTCGTGCATGTAGCAAAATTCAAAAGCAGACATACCGACATGTTTTACTGAGCCGACCGAACTGTAATGGTACCCGCCCTGCGAGCGGCGAGCCGACCCCGAATCTTGCGAAAGGGTTGACCTGCCATCGCAAGAGGGCGCGCGGTATATTATTCATGACCAACCGTGTTAAGCATAGTGATGGTGCACCTTGTCATTATCACAAGGCGAGAGAGCCCGGTCCTCTCATGTCTTCTGACTAGGCGGATAAGATACCATCATCCACTGTGGACAAAGAGGTCTATGGCCCCGGTGATCATACTACCGTCAGTGGCCTGCAAGTACTTCGGCGTGACTGGGGAGTTCCTGTACTCCTTGAAGTTCCATTTAACTGTTCACCCTCCTTTTGACCGTTTCACGAATCATCCACAAGAAAGAAGAATAAACCGCCGATAGCCGAGAGAGGGCAAATTGATCACATACAACCATATGCGCGAGGGGAATCTGGGCAAGTTCTTATTTTTGTGGGGTGATGAGTTTGAGCATATGGAACACTATAGCAGTCGGAGAGGGTTAGATAATATTTGAAGTTGTGCTATTGAAATTTGAAACAACTGCCTATTCTAAGCCTTTATTTCCCTGTGGTTTTCTACTCCCAAATATTTGCATAAATCCTCGCAACTCAACCTTGCCCTGGGCTATGGCTAGCGAAGCCAGCTTCAGCTTGTCAGACTTAGACAGTAAGACTTTACATTGTTCGTCACCCCTAATATTGTGGATTACTAATCCACCCCCGTATAGATGCTCAAACTCTACCTTGGCGTCCCAATTCCACAAGGCGGAACGCTCTCGGTAGTGGTAGGGGCGGCCGTGCTTAAAGACCTTGTCGTGTGTTGCATTCAGTACTCCCACGTGTGCTGTCTTGAAGTTTCCTTGGGTATCCACGGCTACTGCGCAGTGCCACGGGGTCATTGAGAAGGAGTCTGTCTGTGGAATTAGCGGCATGGATATCTTCGTTTGTCCGGTCGATGGGTGGATCGAAAGTCGTACATGCTCAGGGCATTTTTCCATAATCAAATTCGCAAACGCCTTGAATAATTTTGTATTAGCAAGGGGTCTCGGTCTAGTATAAAGTAAGGTTTGAAGGACGATATAATTTACCACGCCGCGGGCAATCATGGCTTTAGCTGACTCGTGTACCATAGCCTTATATTTCTTGCCACTGGTCATGGGGTCTCGAATAGCACCGTATGCAAGATCCTTCTTCAAGAACTTTGCATATCCATCGTAGGTCATCTTGTAGTCAGGGTTATTCTTAATGCAGGCGTTGGGGTCAAAATTAGGATCCCCATAGCGCTCCATCAGCTCTTTTCGGCTTGGGCCAATAAGACTGATGAACTTCTCCTGGGTAATGGTTGAATGGTTGTAAATCTCTAGTAGATTCATGATGCGAATGAAATCGATGCATTTGTCGTAGCCTTTCTCGTTGACCATCTGACGCAGCGTTGTGGCGTACTCCCAAAGGTTCTTGTCCGTAACTCCTGTGAGATCTAGTTGAAAGCCATAAGCATTCATCACATGCACATATCGTATTCGTGTATGGATTCTTACCGTTATAGCAAGCACCATCAGTCGCGATGAGCACCATTGCACCAGGTGGATAGATCTTCTTGATTCTGGAGCAGAGATCATTTAGACGGTCCAGAGCAAGCTCCTCGCCCAAGTCGGGCATTGTTCCCAAGACCTTGTCGACGCGGTTGATGCTCTTGGCTGGGAAAGCCGGGAGAACCATGGGTACTGTGTGCCCTGCGGTAACATGGCGACGAACCCGAGGGGAGAACACATCTCTCTCTAGAAACACATCGTTGCCTTGTTGTTGAAGGCTGAACGTTTCTAGGATATCCATGATACGTGCAACAGTTTGGTCCAGTTTTGGATTATCTGCGGCAAAACTCTCGTCGAGGGAGGCAGCATTAATAGAATCACTGCTTTCGCCACTTTCAAGATCCTGCAGCGAAACAAGATCTCCATCTGTGTAGTCACTATTTGAAGACTTCCAGGCGGACTGATCTGGAGTGCAGGAGCCATGCTTCAACGGAGATGCCTTGTCGGCTGGGACTTGGGAAACCTGTAGTACAGGCATCTTGATATTGACGGCAGGTGGGCTCTCCTAGTCAAGGCAAAGCAATGGGGGAAAGGGGCCGCCTGGGGGGAATGCTTTTCAAATGAAGGACAAGATAATTGTTAAGAGTTCGTTTGGCCAGACACTTGCCCCTTTTCCGGTACGGGGGCGATAATTATATTACGTGCCCTATCTTGTCATTTGTTTACGGGGCAGGTAAAGGGCATTTAATCCTTTCCAAGGGCACTAATGTCGGATGTATTTAGGTGACAGGTCATGTGTCTGATCACGTGGGAGGCTAACCAGCCTGTACTAGCATATATATAACGAGAGCTTCCCCTTCAACGGATTCTACAGAGTAATCAATTATACTTTAACTGCTCCGGGCTCTAAGGAGGTGAGCTATAATTAAGGTTTAAAAGAAAATTGGCTTAACAGGGATCTTTGATACTTCCCCCTCCATAGTGTCTCTCGGCTTTAGCTCCGTGGCATTGCCATTTTGGAAGGCGAGATTTTGCGTTCTGCACCCCTCAGGTGCTCCAATGCTCGATTCCGTTCTATCCTACTTACAAAGCCCGAAAGGAATACAAAGCGTAATATAAATGCAATAAAAATAAAAATATAGAAATTATTAATATTAAAGCTTATTATCAAGTTAAATAAAAAAGATTTAATTAATTATTTTTCAAATTAAAGTATATAACTAGTAATAAAAGCAGAAAGAAAGAAATGACTTAATATTAAATATATAATAATATATATAAAGTAACTTATTTTTTTGAATTATTATATAACTATTATTTAAAATTAAGTAGCTCTTTTATTATAGACTAATACATATAATAAGCAATTAATTAAAAGCTATAATAAAACTTCATTTTTAATATTTTAATTTAATTTTAATTTCAAATTAAATTATAAGCTATTTTCGATTATTTATTAAATTCATTATAAAATATTTCAGAACTTATTTTAATATAAATAATATATATATTAATTTTGAATTTTAAAATTTTTTTAAAAGAAATACCCATTTTAGCTAAATAATTATTAAAATATAAAATTCAAGAAATAATTAATCTTTTAATTTTTATTATACTTTTATTTAATTAATTTAAATAGTATTATTTTATATTTTATATAGGTTTAATTACTTATTAAATTTTATTTATAATATATAATTCTTATAATAATAGTAATTAAACTTATTATTTTATTTAAAGAATTATAAAATATTATATATATTAATTGCTTTTAAGTTCATTTCCTTTTTTAATATAATAGAAATATTAAATAAAAAGTAATATAAAATTATACTATATAAATAAGACGTAAAATTAAAGAATTAAGATTAGTTAATTTTTAAAATAGAGAAGAAAAAAGAGTAATATATTAGCAAATTACAAATTATAAATATTTAAAAGTTATATAACTAGAAAATAAAATTCTAATTATATTATTAGTAATTATAAATAGAGTTATTAAGATTAAAATATAAAGAAAACAGATTATATAAAGTAAGCCTAATTAATAATATTTTAAAGTTTTAAATACTTCTCTAATTAACCTTTTCTAATTAATTACTTCTTAAAAATACTTAGGAAATATAAGTTTATATTAAAAGATATCTTATTTAAGTAATAAACTCTAATTCTTCTAGTATTATTACTTTCATTTTCTTTATTTATTTTAATACTAAGATTTATTTTTAATTTTATATAAAGATTTTTTAAATTATTATAATTATATATTATACTAAGGTTTTTATTAAATAAGGCCCTTATAAGAAATTAGTTTAACTTATTTAGTAAAGCCTTATATCGGACTATTAGTAGGGAAGGAGGTTGCACGCGATTATTTCTTATACTAGAGAAGTATTAATTTTGGGGATCGGGGAAATTCCGAAAAAATTTCACGTGAAGAATACTAATTAACTTGCTTCATCTCCCCTACTAAAAGCATTCAACCTCAGATCATCCTTCATCCGTTTGTTTCTTAATAGAGCACAACCGCCCAATCTTCTCTACAGCTCACTATAGCATTATCGACTAACTAAGCTCGAATCTGTGCTGAGGAACCAAAGCTAGCGAGTATACTTCTTTGCGCCCTTCTCATATGTAACTAGTCCCTAGTCTATCGCTTTAGTTCATATGGTTCTTGATACTATTGCTGGACTTAATCAGCTAGGCACAGAAACGCTTTCTGCGAAGGTTCAACCGCGCAGGCTTTGCTGGATAAAGTTTTCTCAGTTAGGTCAGTCCTCCATTTTCCTTTTATCCCAATATCTTCTAAATATCTATACAGATCAGTATCTTAATTTTGTAGAAGTACAGACCGCTCCAGGTATGGTCGTTGCCGACAGGGGGACCAGAGAACTCCAGCTTCACAGGCGCCCCTTCTCACCAATCCCTCCGTGTGTGGCCATTGATCATAGAACAGGGTCGCCATCGAGGAGGGCAGCTATTACGATCAAGGAACCTAAAGTCATGATTCGTAACTCATCCGACTCCCTGCTGGCGACATTTGCAGTCCCTTCCGCACCCCGATCTCCTGCTGTCTCAACTGGGCCCATAACGGTACTGAGCTCATCCCTCCTCTCCCACCTAAGTGCCGCTGAGTTAGTAGATCCCCTGCCACAGTTTTGCCTTGGCTAGAGGTAACTTGGTGCAGGCAGAGTCGAACCAGAATCTTGTACTAATCATCAGCTTACGAGGAATTCGAGATGCGCGTACGCTCTAAATCATCTCCTAGAGATTTTATATGTTAATAACTGGGACCTGAACGGGCCTGCTGAGAAGCAGAGACGACCGAGCCTTTTACATAAACAAAAACATCTTTTGGAAAGCGACTAATGACTCTATCAACTTGTATGGGGTTCAGCAATGTCCTCCTCGGCAGAGCTAATCACATGGCATCGAGCCCTTGCAACGAGATCTGTTCCCCCCGTTCGTCAATACGAGCGATTGATTAATCGGGAGCCCGATTGATCATTAGGGAAGGGGGGATGCCGATTCGGGCTGCACAGTGGGACCCGATTAGTCAATTGAGTGCCCGATTGATCAATCGCATAATATTGGGGTTTGGGGTTAAAGGGGCTGAGGGAGCTGAGCGAGCTGAAACCTCTTACCCACTAGTTCGTACTAAATATATCTTCAATTCTAAGTTTTTAACCTCGCTTAAGCCTTACCCTTTATGCTAATATAGATTTCTTATAATTAATACTAAGTATATTCCCAAGCCTAATTTTCTTACTTCGCTATACCTCACTTGTTTGTATTATACTTTATAGCCTTATATAGTATATTTAATTTATTCTAGGTACTAAAAGAGGTAATAATAGAAGTAAAAACACTTCTTCAGGGCTCCTAAATATATACGGGGCCTTTGCTATCTTATTACCTATATATAGTTCATAATATTAATACTAATTTATTAAGTACAATTACTAATTTTTTATATCTCTTATTAAATTAGCTTACTTTTAATATATCTCTTTTAATTCGCTTATTTCTAATCTCATATATACTTTATTAGTATATTTATAGGCAAGTAAAGCAAAATTTTAATATTATTACTTTAAAATAATATTCCCCGAGTATTAATTAAGGTATTAATTACAAGGGTTAGAGATATTAATTAGTGGTATTAATTAGAGGCTAAACTAGTTACTAATTTAAAGTAAAGGTACTAAGGCAGAAATATTAAACTTTGGCTTTTTCTTTAATTTAATTTTAATTTATAAGGAATTAATAAAATTTAATACTTATTATATTTCCTTGTAATACTAATTAAAGGCTATTTAATTATATACTTTTTCTAAAATTTGAATTAGTAATAAATCTTTAAATTAAAGAAATTAAAAATTTCATATTATATAACTTAAATTTAAGTTTAAAAAATCCTAGAAATTTGGCAAATAAGTTCCTAAAACCAAATATAAAAGCCTTATAAGCTTATAGTTTTTGAGGCTTATAAGGCTTAAAAACTAAAATTTAATTAATTAATATATAAATTCTTTTAAATTAAAATACTATTTTAAAAAATTCTTTTATTATAAGTTAAAAAGTATATAATTATAATATAAGAGTTATAATATAGTAAATAATAGCTTATATATATATTAATGAATCTAATATAAATTTTTTAAAGAACTTATATAATTAATTATAAGTTATTAATATTTTTATTTTAATTTATATCTCTAATTAATATCTTAGAAAAAAGGGCATTATTTTATATATTTTTATTCTTCTAATATCTAGTTTTTGTCCTCTTTTATTACTCTAAAGCCTATTAATAATCGAATTATTAAAAAAAAGGTTATATAAAATAAAAGATTTTATAAAAAGAATAATAAAAAGATTTTTATTATTAGAAAACATATAAATAAAAATAATAGTAATAAAACCTTAATATTTTAGTAAAAGAAATTAATTATAATTTAATTCAATTAGTTTAAAAAGCTAATAAAACAAATTAAAACTTATAATTCTTATAGTACTAAAACTTTAATTTTTTATAATTTTATAAATTTATATATTATATTTAATTTTTAAGATATTTTAAATAAGTAATTATTTAAATTTCTATTAATTTATTTATTCTTTATTAAATTCTTTATAAATTCTATAAATTTTTATATAAGTAATTAAATCTAATATTCTATTAAATAAAAAATAAAAATAAAAATATATAAGCTTTAAAATATATTTAAAGCTCTTTTTCTTATATATTAAGCTTATTAAAGCTCTTGTTACTTTTATAATTATTACTTTTATAATATATATAAATATAAAGAATTAAAAGTTATAAAAGTTATATTTAAAACTTTAAAAAAGTAAAAGTAATATCAAACTTTTAAATAAGAAACTAATATTAAAAAAAGAACTTTATAATTTTATAAATAAGACTTTTTTATTAAAAGAAATTTAATTTATCTAAATTTTATTATTTTTTAAAAAATATAAGTTATTTATAAGTTTATAAATATTTTATTATATAAGAAATAAAAAATAAAGAAAATATTATATATAAAAATAATATTAAAAATTAAATAATTAAATAAATATAAAACTATTAAAAGAGCTAAATTAATTATATTAATTAATTACTAATTTCAATTTCAATATTTCTTTTATATTTAATTAAAAAGAACTTTAAATATATATTAACTTTATATAAGTATTAATTTTATTATATTAATTACTATTAATTTAATTTCTTAAATTCATATAATAAGTTATATTATAAAGAATTTATTTAAAATAATAATAATATATAAAAGTAAATTACTTATATATATTTTATATATATTTTATATTAAATAATATTATTAATAAACTAATTAAAACTTATATAATATATTATTTTATTAGTATTTATATTAATTTCCTTTGAATTTATAAATTAATCCTTTCTTATTTTAATAATACTTTAAATAATTAAAAGTAATTAATAAATATATTAATAATAAATAAGCTATTTCTAAAAATATAACTTTAAATTATAATTAATAAATCTTGTAATATAAATTATTTATATTAAATCCTTAAAATCTAATAGTTTAATTTATTATAATTTACTAAAACTTATAATAAGAAATATTAATTACTAAATTATTATTTTTTATATAAATTTATAAATTATATTTTTTTTAAAATTAAAATTTTATATTTATTTATTTTTATATTATTTCTAATTATATTTAAATTAAATAAAACTTACTTCTTTATTATACTTTTAATTTTATTAAAATTATAATAAAATAATAAATAATATATTTTTGAAAACTATTTAATTTATATTATATAATAAAATAATATATATATATATATGAGGCTTTATTCTATTTAGCTAGTTTTAAATAGAATTTAATAAATTATCTTTTATTATATATATTAGTATCTAATAATAATAATAATAATAATAATAATAAATCTTTATTAATTATTTATTATAAGTTTTATATTAGCTTATAATATAGTTTAGATTAAGTTCTTATCTATTAATACTATAATTATATTATTCGAATATATATTAATATTAAGCCGGTTTCTAGTAGATATTATTAATAAAAACCTCAAATTCATAAAGTTTATTAGTTTAGAAACTCGAATAGTAATTAAAGTAATTTTATATAATTATTCGAAAAGAAAATATATTCCCGAGTTATAATTTAGTTATTTTAATAAATTTTAATTACCTCTCGAATTAGAATACTTTTTAATAAAGTAGTTTAATAGTAAATATATTTTTAATATAGCTTTATAATAATTTATTATTATAATAAAACTATTTATTATTTCTCTGTCTAATATAAGTAATTTATAAAGCTAGTAATAGATTTCTAAGAATAGTATTATAAAGAAAATTATAAGAAAAGGCATTTCTTCTAGTTTTAATAAATGTATTATTATATAAATACAAATTCTAATAATCTGGAAAATATTAGAAATAGAAATAATAATAATAGTCTTATATTAAATATATAAGAAAATATTATCTAATTAATTATATAGATTATATAGGCCTTAAATATAAAATAGAATAATAATAATAATAATATATATTTCGGAAATAGAAATAGAAATATATAATATAATTCTAATAAAGATTTTATAAACCTGAAATAGTAAATATAAAATATTAGCTTTTTTAATTTAATACTTAATAAATTATATAAAAAAAATAATTATATTATAATAAAAATAAAAATATATTAGTAAAATATTTATATATTTATAAATTAAATTAGAAATAATAATATAAGTTTATAAATAGTTATAATTAAATAGAATTTATTCTTTTATTTTTATAATAAAATCTTAATATAATTATTAATAGTTATATAATATAATTATATAATATAGAAATAACTAGAAATAATAGAATATAAATAATAATTATATAAGTAATTCGACTAATAATTAGTTTTTATTAGGCTTAATAAATTTAGGAATTATATATTAATATTATAATATTATAATTCTTACTTTTAGAAAATAACTACTTTATTAACTTATATAAATAGTATTCTATAACTATCCTCTTTTATATTATTCTATATTCGGACTACTCTAAGTAATTGGCTCTCGGAGCTCCTTAAAAAAAACTTTCATATAATAAATACTAAAATCTCCCTATTTTAGGGAATTATATATCAGAACGTAATTATATCCAAATCCTTAATACTTAGCTAGGGATTAGAGAGAAGAAGCTTAAGTATCTTTCTTTATATTTAAGTAGTTCTGGAATATAAGAGGCTTTTATTATGATTTTTTAAAGCTTAGGAGAGATTTCTTAAGGCTCTTGCTAGCTTCAAATATACTAAAAAGAAACCTGGCCTTATATTACTTTTCTCTCCTTTTTCTTTTTATTACTCTTTCTTTTACTTTCTTTTAATAATAAATAATTCCAAGACCTACTTATTATATACTAGATACTTGCCACTTTTAGCCTTTTCTTACGGGCCTATAGGTACTATCCGTAAAACCTATATGGCCTATATAGTCCGTATTTCTCTTCTTTATCCTTAATTCCTTTAACTAGTTTCTAGGAGCAGTAATATACCCGAACTACTAATTAGTACCCTGCCTTATAAGAACTTAATCCAAATATTCTCCCTATCTCCCGGCAATAATAACGGTCGGTTACGGACGTCTCTATAGACAAGCCAGCCCTGTAGCGCCAGTAACGGATCCATTAATTATCCGTTACGGCCCCAGTTTATATTATAAAAGATCCTCTTACTAATTCACCTATTATACGGCCTCCTGCCTTCCTTTCCCGCTTCCGGCCAGCTCCTATATATATGACTGGTCTGCTTACAAATTACTATATAGCTTATAAAGCCTTCTATTTTGGCTATATAAATAATTACTTTAAGGCCTATTATAAGAAAGATAATATAATACTTCCTCTAATCCGCAAGCCTTCTTTATACCTCTCTTACCTCTTTACGGGCAATAATCTGCTTTACCGAATCTTCCGGGTAAATATCCGAATATATAATTATACTTTTGCTTTTATATTAGTTAAGTATAAAAAGGATATATGAATTGATTTCTCCTATAGAATCCAGTATTTTTAGATCTATAGTAAGCTTTTCTACTTCTAAGGCCTGCTATAGCCCGCTTTATATACCGAATCCTCCTTTATATAGCTTTTCTTTTATAATCCGCTCTTTATAACTAATATATAGGCTACTAACTTTCCTTATTTAGATTATATAGTTCTTTTATAGCTTACGGATATACTTACGGATTATAATCCGTTTATTACGGTTTATAAAACAGCCTATAAATGTCTTATAAGCCAGTAAACCGATTTCCGGATCTTATTTAATTCGCAAATATACTTAATTCTCGAATTAGATACTAATTATTATTATAAGAATCTCCTAATAAGTAATAAGGTTATAGCCCTTATCCCGGACAAGTATACAGATATAAGCTACTATAATCTGGTATTTATAGTCTATAAAGTAGGCTATAAGTATCCGTAAATATATATAGTTAATATTATATATATAATATATATATTATTTTACTATATCTTACTCTTCCTATATAGTAACCCGGGCTAGTACTATGATTTATAATTATAGGACTATAATAGAACCTATTAGTAAATACGGCTCAAATAGCAGGTCTTTTACTAGTACTATCTCTATATCCGTCTAGCCTTTTTCCTGTTTTTTTATACTAGCTACCTCTTTTAGTAGTATATTATTAATATATATATTACCTATAAGACTATCTCGCTTGACTGGCTCCGCTTATACTAGTAGAATATTTATACGAATATCTATACGGGACTTATAAATACTTTAATTCGTAAGAACATCTATATAAATAATATTAGCTATTACTTTATTTTTTTATTAAGCTTTATAGGTAATAATTACTTTATATAATAGCTCTTTTAAGACTTAATAGCTATTATATAGTACTTTAGTAAACCAAGCTTCTTTATTACCTTTATAACTAACCTATACTAGCCTGAGATTATAGATTACCTCTTAAACGGATAGTAAGTAATTAATTATCCGGATCTCTTCTACTAGGTCTTTATCCTAAAGATAAAAGAGCTCCTTATAGACCTTAAGAATTATCTTTTCGGATAGTATACGGGCCATATCTATATAATTAAATACTAGAAGTATAGCCTTTTATATATATATCTACTCTTATTTCTTAAAAGAAATACTATTTTCTTAATTCCTGATTTAGTTAATAAGATTATTTATACCAAGCTTCTAGACCTGTTATAGGATTCTATAAGTAAACTTATAGCTATAATTACTAGCCAGATATCTTACGGGCCATATAGTCTTAATAATAATTCGAAAGCCCCGTATATAGTCTATAAGATACCTATAGCCCTGCTTATATACCAGAAGAGGTTCTCTAAAGCATTTGCGGCTATAATAATTATTTATAAGAATAGGTATCTCGAATACTAGTACTAGAATAATAGCCGTATATTTACGGTTTATAAACCAGGCTTTCTAGACCAGAAAATCATTTATAATAACTACTAGATTATTTCATATAACCTATATTTCCTCTAGAAGTTCCATTTATATATTAATATCGAGGTTTATATATTTATATAAGTAATTAAGTATATCTATAAGTATATTTATAAAGAAACAGACTATATAACTATTATTATTTCGGGAATAAATAATAAGATTACCTAGTATCTCCAGGCTCGATATATAGACTCTATAAAGGCTTTCTAGTACCTATTCAAATACCTAATATACCAGGAATTCCTTCCGGTTTAATATTTTATAATTTACTTTCTTAAGTAATATATAATCTATTTTATAACTAACCTCTTACCCGAATAGATTATAGACCGGACTACAAATACCCGCTCGACCTTAATAGTCTTTTTTAAATATAATATAATATATAAGAACGGATACTAGTATCTATATTACAAGTTCCTATAGTACTTTATATAAATTACTAAGATCCGAATATAGAAATACTATAAGTAAGGATATAATATCGGCCGTATTTACTACTATAGCCCAGTTTCGGGTAAGCGGTTCTATTTATAGCTCTTACTAATGGTTATATACGGTCTATAGTCCTTTAATAAGCTCTACTTAGTTAAGGGCATTCGTTATCCTATATACTATACTGCCTATATTATTTGCGGCTTAGTAAAAAATAATTAGGAATAGTTCTAGTATTTTAATGAGACTATTTTATTAATAACCGGCTATGGTTTATAGATATTCTTTCTTATAGATATCTACTAGTAGCTAATTATGGATATATAAGTAATCTGGAACCGGTATAAGAAGTATTTCTATAATAACTTGGCCTATAAACTCGCCTATAATCTATTAATTAATTTCCCACTATTTTTAGTTAATTCTTACTATAATTATAGCCTTTTCTTACTTAATCTCGGCCTTATAGATCTCTAGTAAATACTTATAGATATTATCCTGCCTAAAAATACCTTTAACTAGATTATAAGCTACTATACGGCTAATTTATAGGTTAATTATACCCGTAAGATATTACTAGTAACTATAATATAAGCCTAGCTAAATATAAACTAGTATTCTTGCTTCCAGATAATTATAATAGTAATTACAGACGATTTATAGACGGCTCACTTCTATTTATAGGGCCCGGGCGGGACCGGTAAGACATTTCTCTATAAGACCCTCTACTACTATTACTATAGCTAAGATAAGGTAATCCTATATATGGTATTAATAGGTATTACGGCTCTCTTTCTCCCGGACGGATATATATTTCACTCCTAGTTCCGGATCCCACTTGAGTTTAATAAGTTATTTATAAGTATGATTACTAAGATAAGCCGGCTCAGAGCACTCTTATAATCTATAGACCTGATTATCTGGAACAAGGTACCTATATAGTATAAGTACTACTTTAAGGTAGTATACCGGCTAATAGTTAATTTACGGTCGGTTATAGATAATATTTTCTTTAGAGGAATACCTGTAATTCTTAGGGGAAACTTTACTCAGATCTTACTAGTAGTCCTATATAGTTTACAGGCTAATATAATACGGGCCTACCTATAGCAAATATAGATCTGGCTATAGCTCTATTAGTTATTATTACGGATTAATATACGGGTCTATAATAACTCGTCTAAACAGGATTTTATAGACTGGATTAGTTATCTGCTATATAATCCGTCCTTAAATAAACAGATTATACTCCTACCTTTTATTCTATATACCCAGTCAGTTACGGACCTAATTAATTATATTTACCTATAAGAATAATTCTTGCAGGCCTTATATAACTACCGGGCCTTTAGTAGATAGGTAATCCTATTAACCCTGAATAATACGGTCCGTAAGCTTAACTAAATAATCCTGGATATATTTCCTAGCCAGGAACGGATATATTTTATAGTAGATTCGGCTAATATAAATGAGGCGGATCCTGAAATTACAGAATTATCTCTAGAGATCTTATAAAGTATCTATTTACCGGATCTACCTCTTTCCAAGCTATAATTCAAGATCGGTATATCCGTAATACTTTTATAGAATCTCTATCTATAGGAAGGGCTTTATAACAGGTTACAGATATTAATTTATAGCTTTGGAAGGTTTTCGATTTATATACGGCTACTAGATAGCGACTTTAACGGCTAATTATAGACAATTCTATAGATCAAGCTCTAGTTAACGGATTAGTAACTGTCTTTTATACTCTCCCGTAAGCAGTTTCTACTTACTTTATCCTTTATAATAACTATTAATAAGTTATAGGGCCAGTTATTTGAGGTAATAGGAGTAAATTTATAGTTACCGGTCTTTTCTTATAGCCAGTTCTATATAGCAGCCTTACGGGTAACCTTATAAGCAGGGCTTTATATTCTTTTATTCCCTAATATAAATCATATAAGTAATATAATATATCCAGAAATATTACAGGGTCTTATTTAGCTTTTGACTTACTTATGGGCTATTCTCCTTCTTATACTATCCGTAAAGGCCTTTACTAAATCACATATCCCTTTTAATTCCAACCCTATTCGGGATAAGTTTAGGGCAAAATTATTAATTAGCCCCAGAGCTTATATAGGGCCACTAATTAATAATTTTAGTAAAGCGGCCCTAAACTTGTAAAATAAAAAAATCTTTATAAAAATCTATTTTATTAGTTTTAAGAATTAAAAAACAATTAATAATATTTTTAATAGTTTATATATAAAGAATTTAATAAATTAGGCCAAGTTATTAGAAACCGATTTTAAAATCTATATTATTCTCGAAAAAAAATTTATAACTATAATTAGAAGACTAATATATTAAGGAATTTATAAATATTTAATATTATTATAATAGAAATATTTAAGTAATTTAAAGATCTTTATTATTATAGATAAGAAATAAATATAAAATAAAATTATATTATATATTAAATATATTCTAATTAGGCTTATTATAGTTTTTAATATTATTTATATTAAATCTATTACTAATTTATTTTTTAATTATAAGTAGCTAGTATTTTTATATATATATTAGAAAAGATATTTAATTATTAGTAAATATTAAATAGTATAAAGATTTCTAGAAAAAAGATTTTAAAGAAAGCTTTAGTAATATTTCTAGTAATATTATAAAATAATTAAAAATTAAAGTTATTAGAAATATAAAGAATATAATTAAGAGATTAGTTTTTATATAAATCGAATAAATAGTATAAAAATAAATAATAAAATAATACTAAAATTATTAAATAAATATAAAAAATAATACTAGTAAATACTTATAGTTTTAGAAAACTATTTCTAATATTTTAAAACTAAAAGAACTAAAAAAGAACTTTTATAATTATTAACTAGAAACTATTATATATTAATAAATAGCTTTTATATTATATAAGATATTTAATTAATATTTTATTATTATATTTTATTATTATATTTTATTATTATATTTTATTATTATATTTTATTATTATATTTTATTATTATATTTTATTATTATATTTTATAATATATTTATTTATAAGATATTTTAGTTTATAAAACTTT